ATTAAACTTTTATGCATCTACTTTTTCTACCTTACAATTACTTAGTTTTTTAACTATTTTTAAATTACGTGTTTAGTTGTTATGTAACAGGTAATAAAAAAAAACAGTATTCTTAGCTGTTAGAATTTACAGATAAATACGAATTAAATTAAGAAAGAGAAAAAAACGAATACATGTTATTTTTAACAATTACAATTATCATCCTTTCTAATTAAGGTCTTCTCCGTCGGCAGCCGAAATATATGACTAATAAACAACTAACCTTTTTGCTTGTTTTGTGGTGTGCATTTGGACAATGCCGGTTACATCCCAAGGAACAGAATGACAGGTACATTAAATACACACGCATTTTTTATAATCTTCTTATATTTTTGCACTAGTTTTGTGGTGTTAATAAAAAAAAAATTAACGGACATGATGGAATTAAGTGAAAAACAACCAAATTAACTTTGCGCACAAAACATCATTTTGTTTGTTCTTCAATCAAAACAGATTTAATTAAAATTATATTCACCTTTTTTAGCTCAATTTTTTCACCTTTCAAAGAAAAAAAAAATCAAAAATGTAATATTTTTTTAACGGTGTTTGAAGATCTAAAATTACAAAGTTAAGTTTCGCATATTTTTCTGTGGTCCTTTCATGTCATTTTCACTTTTACAGTGAATTAACAGCAAAATACAAAGTTTTTCGAATCTATCCAGAAACGACCGATCAATTCAAGATCCTAAAAGAGTGGCAGCAACAAGCCACAAATTTTGAAGTAAATCCTTTGCAGCTTCGTTAATATTATGCAAAATTTTGTTTGGTTATTATTATTGTTAAAATTTCTGTTTCATATTTTAAAAAAATTTTGGCGTCGTTTAAAAAATGGTCTCTACAGATCGATTTTTGGAAAGATGCACGTTTTAATGGAGATTTTGCTGATGTAATGGTTGCACCATCAGTGCTTAAGAAAGTTGAGAAGGAACTTCGAGATAGTGACTTCAAATTTGTCGTTACAATTCCAGATGTCCAAAAGTACGTTCACTTACCGACGCTACTGACAGACACATTTTAGTAAGATGGGAAGCTCTAAAAGACAATGCAAAAAAAAAAAAAAAAAAAAAAAAAAAAAAAAGCGCAAAA